TTTTTCCTAATAGAGGGAGGTGGCGCTGGGCATGGTGGCACACGCCTATAATCCCAGTGGGCTGAGGCAGGAGGATCTGAAGTTCAAAATCAGCCTCAGCAATCTAGTGAGGCCCTAAGCAACTCCTAAGCAACTTAGCAAGACCCTGTGTCAAAATAAACAATAAAAAGGGCTGGGGATGTGGTTCAGTTAAGTACCCTTGGGTTCAATCCTTGGTATTAAAAAAAAAAAAAGTGGGGAGTGGCCTGGATGGTCTATTTCATCTTTCTGCCCCTTTCTCAAAGGAAGGGACTCTATTCCACTTTGTGGTTGGAGCTTTCTCTGCACACTCTTCCCCCTTGCTAGGCCTGGCTAATGACCTGCTCCCAGAGCCATAGAGCACCTCTGTTTATGAAAGAGACATTGCTGCTGTTGTTGCAAGTTGCTAGGCTGTAGAGAAGCCCCAAAGCTGGGCCTGCAGTATCCTCCCAATTACACATCTCTACTCCAGAGATGGAAACCTCCTCCACCCCACAGCAGTGCACCAGCCTCCACCCAGAAGAACGCTCAATGGCAGAAGTGGAATAAGAGTTGAATTTAGCAACCCAGGGTAGGAGAGTAGTTTGACTTCAGACTCTAGTGTGGGCCTTCCTAATTCTGGCAATCACACAGGTCCTGAATTTAGCTTTACTTTGTGCCCACGCTGTTCCAAGTGCTTGACAAATATTGTGTTTAATCTTCATAACAACCCTATGAGGTAGGTGTGATTATCTTCATCCCCATTTTACAGATGAGGTGAGCGTTTAAGCTGTTTAACTAAACACACTTTTGTAACTTTGGAATCATCTTTTACTTTTTTTTTTTTTTTTATTGTACTGGGGTTTGAACCCAGGAGCCCTCTACCACTGAGCTACATCCTTAGCACTTTTTATCTTTTATTTTGAGACAAGGTCTCATAAATTTCCCAGACTGGGCTGGAACTCACCATCCTCATGCCTTAGCCTCCCAAGTACCTGGGATTACAGGTATGTGCCACTATGCCCAGCATCTTTTGCTCTTAACATGTCTAGAATATTAACTTTCATAAGACAGTTTGAATCCTAGTTTCTGGCAAATAGTTGCTCAGAGTAACTCTCAAGGTGAGAGTAACTAAACAGCTAGGAAGAACATTTGAAAACATGCTAAAAGCCACCATGTGCTGACAAAATAGTAAGAATTTAACAGGCCAAAATGGGGGGATAATGCTAAAAGATAATCCAGCAAGGAAGCCATGTTTACCCTGCAAATATTTGCGAACCCTAGCATATTTGAACTTGACTGTTTTGTGGGGTGAGAGGCCAGAAAATTACGACCCGGGGCCCACACCCAGTGGGAAATCCCTCCATAATAATTTGGGAGCCACCTCCCTCAGTCAGGTTTCTCCACTGTGTGATAAGCTGGCAAATGTTCAACAATCAGCTCTGGGTAGGGTTGGGGAAGAAGGGTCCTGATGTATACAGTGTTCCAATTTCCATAGTGTAAATATTCCCACTGTGGATGATTTCAAACTCTCAACCTGAAGTCCCTGGACACAGAGCTCAGTAGCTCAAGCCCATAAGTCAGTTACAGCACATTATAGACGCCACCCTCAGAGGACTGTCTGCAAACCAGTCTCCACCACTGCACAGGCTGCACTTGCATCAGCTGGGTGGTCAGGGAACCACAAGCCCTGAACTTGGATTTTTGTAGTCCCACATTAGCAGTGACCTCAGGAGCCTGGCAGAAGCAGATGTCAATCATCTCTGGAGGAAGGCCTCAAATTATCCCTATAAATAAATTTTAAAATACAGTATCCAAGATAGGATTGGTGGTATATAACCATACCTGTAATCCTAGCTACTTGGGAGGCTGAGGCAGGAGGCTCACAAGCTCCAGGCCAGCCTGGGCAATTTAGTGAGAACCTGTCTCAAAATAAAATTTAAAAGGGGGCTGAGGTTGGTAGAGGGCTTGAACATACGGGATGCCCTAGGTTTGATCCCTAGTACCACATAATAAATAAATAAATAAATACAGTATCTAGCATAGTCAAAGATAATCAGGCATATAACAAGGAAATATGACACCATGAGCAAGAACTAGCAAAAACAGATCCTCAGATACTTTACAATATTAGAATCATTGATCACTAGATATAAAACAACTGTATGCTTTGTTGAAAAAATAATTTTAAATATCTCATGGCCAGAAACTGTAAACTGTAAAACAATTTTTATAGAAACTGAAAAAATTGACAAACTACGTTTATAAAGAACATTTGTAGAAGCTGTATGGTTTAGGGATCAAGAACAGAAACTTCAGGGGTCATACAGGTACCAGAGATGAGTCAAGTGGCTGGATAAGCACTCTGGCGACTGGGACAGCTTTGTCTGTAGGGCACAGAGCTCCTCAGGTCCAGCTGATTGGTGCCCTGTGGCACTTGAGGCCCTGTGTGTGGATCTAGAAATCTCAAGAGAAGCTGGATATTTGGATTTCTTTTTTTACAGATTCAAAGGTTGAACTGAGGGCCTCATGCATGCTAGGTAAGCACTGTTACCACTGAGCTATACCCTCAGCACTTTTTACATTATTTTGAGGCAGGGTCCAACCTGGAATGTGTAGTTCTCCTGCCTCAGTCTCTTGAATAGCTGGGATTATAGCTGTGTGTCTCCACTGGGCCTGGCTTGGATTTCTTTTTATGATTGTGAAATACATGTAACATCAAACTGCCTGTTGTAAGCATTTTAAAATTACAATGCAGTGACACTTAAGACATGCACAATGTGATGCAATTGTCACCTCTATCTAGTTTCAGAACTTTTGCATCATCCCAAACGGAAACCCCATGCCCATTAGTTGTCACTGTGCGTCACCCCTCCCCACAGTTCCTGCCAACCACCAACCTGCTGTCTTTGTGGACTGCCTGTTCTAGATAACTCACATAACTGGAATCATACCATCTTTGTCCTTGTGTACCCTGCTTTCAGTTAGCATGTTTTAGCATGTCAGGACTTTTTTTTTAGCATGTATTCATTCCCTTGAGTGACTGATATTCCACTGTGTGGATACATGCATTGATCAATTCATCGAATAGTATTTATATTTTTGACATGGTGTCTTATTTTAAATCAAATATAGCTGAGTGCAGTGACACACACCTATAGTCCCAACTATCTGGGAGGGTGAGGTGGAAGATCCCCTAAGCCCAGGAGTTCATGGTCAGCCTGGGCAATATAACAAAACCCATCTAATAAGAATAAATATAGGGGGCTGGGGTTGTGGCTCAGTGGCAGAGCACTTGCTTAGCACGCATGAGGCACTGGGTTCGATCCTCAGCACCACATACAAATGAATAAATAAAGATCTACAACTAAAAAAATATTTTAAAAAAAGAATAAATATATATTCTACAACTATTGATTTGTATACCATTTTTTATTTGTTCTTTTCTTTTTTATTTATTTTTGTGGCACTAAGGATTGAACCGAAGCAAGCTAGGCAGTCACTCTACCACTGAGTCCAGAAATATATATTTTTAAAAGTTCTCTGTGGCCCAAAGCACATATCTGATGGCTAGATGCAGTGAAAGGGCCAACAGCATGAGAGTTCTGATTTGTGACCCACTGCTACTATTGTGTTTGCTTGAGATGGAGTCTTCCTATGCTGCCCAGGTTGGTCTCCAACTCCTGGGCTCAAGTGATCCTCCTGCCTCAGCCTCTGGAGTAACTGGGAGTACACAGCACACAGAACCAGGCTCCTGTCAGGTAATTTTTCCCGCATAAATCCTCAGGATGCTTCTCTGAGGTAATTGTTCTTATCTTTACTTTCATGTTGGGAGTTTGCATTTCAGAATGGTAAAAGATATGTCTAGGAAAAGTCTCTCACTCCATTTCTGTCAAAACCAAAACCACAGGGAAAACTTCTTGGTACTGGAATGAATGAGAGTCATAGGTTACAGCTTATGGCTGCAACCCTGAACTTCCCTGAGACTCAGTTTCCTACCCTGAAATGACTGGTATTGGGTTAATTCATCTCCAGCACAGGGCTTGCTCACATTAGGTCACCCTTTTCCCAGCATCCATCTGGGCAGGCATCCAGTCTGGTCCAGGCTCAGCTGCAGCTGCACACAGAGACATGGCACTTGGTTCTCCTGACCCTAGTAAATTCTTCCAGAGCTCCGTCCTAGCGGCTGGAGAGATGGAACGATCCTTAAAAGTCCTCCTTGTGGGTCGGGCCAGTCCATTTTACCTTCTACCGTTATGTGTGCAGTGGCAGCACCTGGTCTAAGCTTGGTACTTCTGTCAGAAGCGACTTACGGTTAAATTGCGGTCCTCTGACAAGCCCCAGCGAGGACCCCCTCACCTTATCTATGACAGGGCAACTTATCTCTGGGGAAAAGAATCCCTGTGACAATGATGATAATCATTAGGTTCCAGGCACCTTTCCTAGAACCCTAGTTTTCCAAACGGGCGTAGCATGCAGAGCGACGTCCTGGCTCATTTTTAAACAGATCAGCGGGCCAGGAGAGATCGGTATCTCTCAACTCTTCTAAGAGCACCTCGCGTCCCGAATCGCCATCTCCAACTCTCAGAAGTCAAGAGCACCGCAGGAAACTTGCATTATTGCATCCGCTGCCACAAATCCCGGGCAGGGCACTAACCAAGCTGGCTCCAGGAATGCGCCCCCTCCGCGGCGGGCTACCCAGCCAGACTGCCATCCCCGCGGCACCTGCGGCCTCCGAGTGAGTCCCCGCCCTCTCCGCGTGCCGGGGGTCGGGGTCGCCAGGCGCCCCCAGTCGCCTCCCGGGAATGGGGTCGGGTGGCTCCCTGGGGTGGGCGGCGGCGGCGGCGCTGGCGGCGCCCGGAGCCTGCACTGCTGGCGGCCGCGGCGGCGCTGCTCCCCCTGCTCGGTGCAGCTGCCGCCCGGCGCTTGCGCACTGGGCCCCGGGCGCGCGGCGGCATCAGGCTTTGTGTGTGTGTGTGTATGTGTGTGAGTGTGTGAGTGTCTGTGTGAGTGAGTGAGCGGGCGGGCGCGAGTGTGGCCGCCGCGGAGCGCGAGCAGGACCCGGCGGGCGCGCTCCCCCAGCCTCTCTCCCCGCCAGAACCATGTCGGGCAGGTCGGTTCGAGCCGAGACCAGGAGCCGGGCCAAAGATGATATCAAGAGGGTCATGGCGGCTATCGAGAAAGTGCGCAAATGGTAAGCCGAGGAGCCTGCCCGCCCGCTCGCTCGCTGCTGGGCGCCACGGCCGCCTGGAACCCTACCCTGGCACAGAAAGCCGCGGGGCGCAACGCTCCGGGCCGCCCTGCCGGCCGCGGGCCCGGAGTTGGCGAGGGCGGGCGAGCGGGCGGGCGGCGCGCGAGCCGGGTCACCTGCGCCAGGCGGGGGCCACGGCCGCTGCCCAGGTGCGCTCGCGCCTGTCGCCCACCTGGAGCGGCGGCGGCGGCAGCCCGGAGGCGGCGGGCGCCCAGGGCCGGGCGGCTGGAGCGGCGGGCAGTCCCCGCCGCGGCGCTCGGCTCCCGGGAGGGGGGCTCGGGGCCGGCCCCAGAAGCCATTTCGTTTTGTGCAAGTCACATGAAAGCGGCTTCCCGCGCGCCGAGGCCGCGGTGCCGGCGGCGGCGGGCAGAGCGCGAGCTCCATTGTGCAGGCACCGAGCGAGCCGCCGCCGCCGCCGCCGCCACCGCCGTCTCCTCCCCGCGCGCCCCGGGCGGCGCAGCACTGGCCCAGCGTCCCGGCCCGCGCCGGGCCTCCCGCCCTCCTGCCCTCCTGCCCTCCCAGCTCGCCCGCCCGCCCGCTCCCCGCCTCCCAGGCCCGGCGCCCTCGAGTCTGCGGAGTTTGCGGAGCGCGAGCCGTTTAAATTTAGCGCTTTGGGCTGCCTGGAGCGAGGGCTCTTGGCGAGGAAGAAAGATGGGGGCGAGCGCCGGGAGGCAGCGGCGCGGGCGGCCGCGGGGCGCGGGGCACCTACGACCCACCCGGCTCTGCGCTGCGCCCAGAGCGCGGGGGGCGCGGGCCGGCTCATATTCGGAGCCAGAAACCGGTTCTGGGCCGCGTCTGCCCTTCCCCGACCCGGAGCTCGTGTTTGTTTTGCGGGGAGAGCCGTTGTTTTTGTTCTCCGCGCTGGAGAACAGCAAGATTCGGCGTGGGCCGGGCGTGTTTTTCAAGCTCAAATTAGATCGTGTCCGGCGTGGCCTCGTTATAATCAGTGGGTTGGCACATTTTCATGGCCTCGGCAGGGTCTGGTTCGGAAGCGACCCCAGGGCCAGGCCTGAGGCGCGAGCAGATCGCCAGGTTGCACTGGACTTGTTGAAAACTCCCCGCTCCGTGATTTCAACTTTATTATGTTTTTCCCACGGCTTCACCAGAGTCCGGGAGGGAGAGGAGCAGCCGCGACGGTGTCCCTGAGTGTCAGCGCCCGCGGGCTTATCCTGACCTTTTATTAAAATTCTAGAGCCTGACCAGGCCCCACGGCAGGCTCTGTTTATATTTGGGGGTGTCATTTCTTTGAGTAACGCCTTGGTCTCTAAAAACCACTGGGGGCGAGCCTCCGGTCAGGTGGTGTCACAAGTTAGCTGTCCTTTCTGAGTCAAACCCAACAAAAAGGCAAGGGGAAAATCAATAAAGTCCACGTGCTCCCGGGCCTCCTATGGAAAGGGCTGTCTGCGGATGGCTGGATGCCCGGCCGTGGGCTGGGTTTGGCTCCAATGGGACAAAGAATTTTCACAACCGTGAGAAGGAGAGGCTTTCCAAAGTTGAGATCCAAGTCTTGGGTGCCGGCGGGAGCTCCCCTGCCGCGCAGGGCGCCCAGTGCCCAATTGGAGCCATTTAAAAATGGCAGAAACAGCTGCAGGCCAAAACACAGACAGGAAAACAACCCATAACCTTCTCTCCTGTGGGACTCCCAGTGGAAAGGCTGGAGTCACCTCCTTCCCTGCCTCAGCCCCTGTGCAAAGAAAGAGCTGGTGTTTGGGCCTATGTCCCTTCTGGCTGTCACCAGCCTGGAGGGTAGAAAGGGACCAAACAAGCTGCCCTTCTCAGCTCCTGGAGGCGTGGTGGGGCCTCCTGCCCCGGGTTCTCAGCCCTGCCCAGGCTCCTGCACCCAGTGACAGCTGCAGCCAGGGCTGCCAGCTGCTCTGCAGGGAGGGCAGATGGAGGGTTGGGGCTTTCTACCCAGGAGACTCCAGAGCAGCCGGCCTCTCTGTCCTGGCCAGACACCTCCATAGGGAGGGGGATCTGTCAGAGTCCGTTCCTGTGTTTCAGGAAACAGCACCTCGAGTCCTCTACAGACCTCTGGCTTTTGGGACCTCCTGGTTGAGCTTCTGCTTCACTTCTTTGCTGTGACCTTGGGCAGTCCATGTAACTCAGTTCTCTAACCCCGGCAACAAGGGGCTCAGTGGCTCTCTCCCATCCTGGGTCTGTTGGAGGTGGTTAAGGTCATGTCTCCAAAAGCACATTGTCCTGCTCACAGGAGCACTTGTGAATGTTGTCCTTATTATAAGGTGGACTTTGTAGAAACTTGAATTTTGCACCTCCCCCCTTTTCCTCTTATAAGCAGAAAGCATGGTCTCATTGCCCAGGTTTCTCCAACGACCCCTGAGAAGCTGAATATGGCTTTGCTGAGCCTTTAGAATGGGTCTTCCAGTTAGCCCTAGAGGCTTTTGGGTTGTTTATTAACTGACCACCAACCATGCATTTCACCACTGGCTAGGAGGGAGAGTTGCCAGATTTAGCAAATATAGAACACCCAGTTAAATTTGTATTTCAGATAAACAACAAAATAATTTTTAAAAATAAATGTTTCTGCTGGGTGGGGGGAGGCTGGGTGGTAGAGCACATACTTAGCATGTGTAAGCCCCTGGGTTCAATTCCTGGTACCCCCCCACCCCAAAACAAATAGAATATTTTTAGTGTAAGTGTATTCAACACAAAATTTGGGATATGCTTATATCAAGAAATTATCCATTTTTCTGAAGTTCAGATGTAACTAGGAAGCCTGTGTTCATCTGTTTGTAGAGCTGGGGAAGGAACCCAGGGCCTCACGCATGCTGAGCACATGCTCTACTGCTGAGCTGCACCCCCAGCGTGTGTCCTGCATTTCATCCAGAGGACAGCAAGTTGGCATACCTGTCAGTGCTTAAACCTAGGGGGGAATTTCTTCTCAGCATCAGTGACCCTCAAAATCCACACCCCCTCCCCTGCCAGGCCCACCCTTCTCCTGCCCCTGCAGAAGAAGCCAGCAGCTAGCAGTGGCCTCCTTTCTATCTGCTGTCCTAGGAAGGCAGGCTATGGAGTGTGAGGCCAGAAGATGGCTGAAGTAAAGGCAAAATGGTGGGTCTCTGTTTGGGCAAACTGGGCCAGGGGTATGAGGCCCAGTGTGGGTGGAGAAGAGGTGGGGAAGGGGCGTCATGGGTTGGGAGGCAAAGGCTTGAGCTGCAAGGTGAGCGTAGACCTGGGACGGCTCAGCACTTGCAGGCTTCCCTCAGCGAGTTGCTATGAAGACTGAGGCCTGTTTACCTGTCTCTGGAAGAGACCTGAGTTTGAGCCTGGGGCCTCATTTGACTCCTTAGGGGTTTTGTCCCAGCTACCTACCTTCCTTCCTGCCAGAACAAGCAGGTAAAGTGGACCTGCGCCTAGTTTGGATGAGGCCTGGACTAAGGTGTCAGGACCAACCCTGGGCATGGATACAAAGTGAGGGAGAGAGAGCTCTCTTTAGAGGGTCCCCTTGGGTGGGGGGCAATCCCCAGATGGTCTCCTTGGCCAGCCCTTACTTTTGGACCAAGGAGAACATTGGAACTTGGCCTTGGCCTAGAGAATCCAGGATGGGTACTTCTTATAGTTTATATAGGAGCCCGGGGGTATGTTCCTAATGTGGGGGAGACCTCACATGCTTTTGCTCCTTGAGCCCAGTCTATTATTATGAGGGGCAGTTTCATAGCTAGGTTGGGGTACGGCCCTGCGGTCATGTTGAATCCTGGCCCCAGTGCCTACAGGTGGTGGGAGTTGGGGGGGTGAGTGAGCTACATCGTGCCATCTGGAGCAAGCTGGCATGCCTCGGGGCATGTGGGTCCAGATCAAGTTTTTGAGAGTAGCCAGAAGTCTGGATTTTTTTATGTGGAGTTTTTTTTTTAAGTTTGGCAATCGATTCAAATTTTTAAAAGTACTCAGCAGGCCAAACAAAACATGTCTGTTAGCTGCTCGTTTGTCACCCTGGCTGTGAGGTGGTGGGAACAGCCTAGTACCCTCATTGGGGAGGGGCCTTGTGTCCTGGGGTAATGGGTTTGGGCGGCAGTATGGGAAATCTCAGCTGCTCCCCTGAGCCTGGGCTCCTGTCCCACATGTTTGTGAAGTCCCGTTTTGCCCTCCTAAGAGCTCCTTCCATAGCTTACACCTGAGTTCCAGGCCTCTCTCCCTGGGAAGTGGCTGGTGGAGCCCCAGTGCCCAGTGAGGTTCTCCACACTCCTGCTTCTGTCCAGGAGCCCGCTCCGTGTCCACTGCCAGGAGAACAGCTTCCTGTCTCTCTGATAACTTGGGGACTCAGCAGAGGGGTCTCTGGGCTTCCTGTTTTTCCACCTACAAAATGTGGTGACAGTGGTCCCTTTTTCCACCTTTTGGGAATCTCTGGCCAAGAGTCTAAAGTGCTTGGTGTGAAGCCTCACATGCACCAGGCCCTCGGTGCACAGTGGCCATTATGATTGTGGCTCTCCTTACCACAGAGGGTGTTTCTGGAAACATCCTTGTCCCTTCAGGTACCCTCTGATTATTTGGAATGGAGGTGGCAAAAGATTGGGATCGTGCTGACCTGTCTGTTCTGCCTGGTAAGAGGGATGAGGGTGGCGGCCTCACAGACTGTTCCAAAAAGCAGCATGGCTCCAGGGGTTTGGACACTGGCTGTGGAGAGAATGAGTTTCCTCTCCATGCCTTGGTTTCTCTGTCAGATGGGGCATGAACCACTTCCTGATACCCAAGGTTTTGTAGAGATTAGAGAAAGTATGTCTGGTGCTTAACACATAGAAGGCCCTAGAAGTGGTCAGTAGTATAATAAAAGCCAAGCCCTAGCTTCCTCCTGCAGGACCCGCGCAGGCAGAGGTCGGGGGTGTAGGTGTCTGTGGTTTTGGTTAGCTGGTTTTGAGTGTGCATGGGCCCTGCACCCACAGAGGGGAAGACCCAGGGGTGAGCTTGGGTAGAAAGGCCAAAAACAATGTGTCAGACAACTCAAGAAGGTCCTCGTACCACATGTAATTTTCAGTTCCAGTGGAACTGTTATCATTGAAGTTACTGAGGGTCCCTGGAGGCTCTACCACCTGCGCCAGATGTGCCTCTGGCCCCAAGGGCTTCCCATGAGTCCCCAGAATCAGCCAGGTTCCTCGCCAGGCCCTCAACAGATCCTCAGTGACTTCCCACTTCTCTGAGATGGCAGAGCTGAAGGCCAGAATATCAGAATTCAGACCCAAGCTCCATTCCTGAAGCTGTCCCTGAGCCTCTGTCCCCCTAGGTGTGTGGCTCTGAGTAAGTGGGGCAGGAAGTGACACAGTCTGACGGAAGTTCTGTGGCAGCAGCAATGATCTAGAAAGTGGCGATGGCGCAGAGCAGGGTGGTGGTGGTGGAGAGGGCAGTAATATTACCACCCCTTTTCCTTCTTGTGGCTTATAATTTTCTCCTCATCTGGAAACCTGCCTCTTGCAGCTGGAGGCCTGGATTCTGTCCTTCAGAGTTCAGAGGGTGGTAGCCTGGCAGACAGGGCAGAAGAACCTTGAAGGTAGGGGCACAGAGATGCTCCCCACAAGGCCAGGCTCTGCCCTTCATGGCCCCCCAGCGTCACCCCTGAGGGCACCCTTTCTGTCCAGGAAGCTGCTCTCTAGAGCCTCTGAGCTGTTCCAAGAGGCAGATGGCGGGAGAGGACGGGGGCCACTGTGCTTTCTGCTCTCAGGAGGGCAGGATGAGGCTTACCTTAGTGATGTGACTTGCCAAGGGTCCCCAGCTATCAAAGGGCAGAGCTGGGGGTCAAGGCCACCTCTGTGCCATCAGGGATTGTTCCCTTACCGTTCCAAGGAGTGTGACTTGTACCCTGCCACAGGGATGAGCAGGTTCCTGCTCCAAGCCGCCTTAATGATGGGCTCTTCCTCATCCTCCACAGGGAGAAGAAGTGGGTGACTGTTGGTGACACGTCCCTACGAATCTACAAATGGGTCCCTGTGACAGAGCCGAAAGTTGATGATGTGAGTATGCGGGGTTGGCCTCAGGGGTGGGGCTGCCAGTCTGTGCTCCTCCCACTGTGGGGAGAGGGCCTATCTGCTGCTATTCCCAGAGCCAAGGGAACCTGCAATACAGGGACCCAGCTGAAACCCAGAGAGGCTGCTGGACCTGTGTCCCTGCCTTCCTCCATAGTTCAGCCCCAGAGTGGCAGGAGTGTCCCCTGCAAGTTGTGTCTTCTGTACTGAGAGCCCCATGGTTTGCCAGTGGAGACACAGCTAGTACAAGGCTGCTCCCTCCCCAGGTCCAGGGCACCATGGTTTGGGGGTGGGGACAGTGGTATCCACAGCCACTCCCACCCTCCCTACACTGTGGTCCCATTCCTGAGCATTTAACATCTGCTGGGCCCTGAGCTCATGCTTCACCTTATTATTTCATTTACTTTTCATACTGAACTTGTGGAATTGAACTTTTAAAATCTCTATACAATTGAGGACACGTGCTCAGAGAGGTGAAGTCACTTCCCCAGAGTTACACAGCTAGTGTCTGAGCCAAGGATGGAGTTCAGGTCTGTCTGACTCCAAAGTACATGCTGCCTGCTCCTGGGAGCCTTCTGCTCATTGCAGCTGCTGGTGACAGGTGGCCCTAGGAGTGAGAAAGCTTGGTGCAGGGTTGCCTGGGCTCTTGGGAGGAGTTAAGCGGGATGGGACTATGTCTCCTGAGACATCTCGAGGGAGCTTGGGTGGCTTTGCTGGATCCTGAGGGATCCACAGCAGGCAGCTGCCAGGCATTGCAAACAGGGTTTCCCAGCTTCCTAGCTTTGATGCCAGTCACCTGCTAAAAGGGCTGAGACACCATGTTGGTGCTGTTTGGCAAGCTTGCCCCAGGGGGGTCAGTGTGGGGCTGAGGGCTTCGATATTTGTCTTCCCTCCTGGTTCTGTCCTGGGCTCCTAGAGGAGGGACTGAGACTTGGTCCTCTGCAAGTCTCCAGAGGAAGAGCAGGGTAGCCCAGCTCCTGGAGGCGGCTCTTGGCTCTGGCCCGTGCCTGGTCCTCGCTCATCATTAAGTGGTGTAGAAACGCCGGCTGCTTTTGAGAAGATGTGGTCCCTGCTTTCAAGGAATTTCTAATCTCATTGGGGGAAGATAATTATAGAATAGCATGAAACAGACATTAGGGAAGTGCCAAGTGGAATATGATCAAGGAGAAAATGGAATAGAGGGGCCATCAGAAGGACGGGGCAGCTCCAGGCTGGGCCAAGAGTGCTGGACTCGCAGTCAGGCAGAGAAGCCCTGCTTAATCTTTGAGGCTGGACTGGTTGCCCCACCCTGTGGGGACTCCACTCCCTCCTCTGTGTAGTGGGGCTTTGCTGTCCAGTTCCTGGGTTTCTCACTGAGCACACACGAGGTATCAGCTCCGGAAGCACCATGCCTTTCCCTGTCTGAGATGTGACGCGCAGTTCACCCGCCCCTTTCCCTGTGGGGCCAAGGTTCCCAGCCTGGCTGAGCATCTTGATTAAAAATGCAGATTCTTGGACCCTGCCCCAGACAACAAAATCAGAATCTCTGAGGTTAGAGCTGGGGAATCTGCATTGTGGGTGATTAGCTCCTGATTGCTTTAAATAATACCCAATTAGTATACAGTAATACCATTTTTTAAACTTCAGAACTCTGGAAGTTTTCATTCTTACAAATATGTAAAATGTTTCAAAAATCCAAATGTTACTTTAAAATGTTTTTAAATTAAGGCAGTTTACATACTATAAAATTTATTTATTTATTTATTGGTACAGAGGATTGAACCCAGGGGCGCTTACCCACTGAGCCCCAGCCCCAGACCTTTTTTGTATTTTATGTAGAAACAGGGTCTCTGAGTTGCTTAGTATCTCGCTAAGTTGCCGAGGCTGCCTTTGAACTCATGATCTTCCTACCTCTGCCTCCCGAACTGCTGGGATTACAGGCGTGCATCATGGCTCCCTGCAAAATTTACTTCAATCTTGCAGTTCTAGGGATCAAACCCAGGGCCTCATAAGTGCCAGGCAAGCGCTCCACCATGGAGCTGTGCCCCACATTCTTCACTCTTTCAAAGAGTGCACTTCAGTGTTGGTATATCCCTGGTTGTGCAACCACTACCACTACAATTCCAGAACATTTGTATCACCCCAGAAAGAACATTCATACTCGTGATCACTCACTCCCTGTTCCCCACTCCCTGCATCCCTGGTAACCACCAGTCTATTTTCCATCTCTGAGCATTTGTGTATTTATACTTTTTTTTTTTTTTTCTGTTGTGGCGCTGGGAATTGAACCCAGGGCCTTGTGCATGCAAAGCAAGCCCTCTGTCAACTGAGCTATATCCCCAGCCTGTATTATTACACTTTACCATGGCTTTTTTTTTTTTTTTTTTTTTGTAGTTTAGATGGACAGCATGCCTTTATTTTGTTTATTTTTATGTGGTGCTGAGGATTGAACCCAGTGCCTCACACATGCAAGGCAAGCACTCTGCCACTGAGCTACAGCCCCAGCCCTAACATGGCTCTCCTTATGATATGCCTGTCCTCCTCGAATGCACCCTCACCCCACTTCTCTTCCCTGGAGTGTTCCCAGTTTGTTTTTATCCTTCCAGAGGGAGCCTGAGCTTACAAACCACATAGAAACACCCATGTTTGTCCCTTTCTCACCACTGGTGAGAAATTCACATGTTCCATACCTTTCTTTTATACATCTTAGAAATACTGAAATATTTTCATAGGTTAATATTCTTGCAGATGGCCCCCTATTAGTACAGGGGAAGCGGCCATATTCTCTGTAGTTGTTACATTGTATACCTTATTTATTTAATGAGTCTCTGACTGATGGATACAGGTAGTTTCCAACATGATTCTGTTCCTGTGGTGAAAACTGGGGGCTGGGGGTGCAGCTCAGTGGTAGAGCTCTTGCCTAACGTGCCTGAGGTCCTGGGATCCATCGCGACACTGAAAACTAGAACGGAGTAGCATGGGTTTTTGCTCTGGGGTTTTGCTCTTTCCCTACACTTGGAGAAAGGCAGCCCCTGGGGAACTGAAACTACTGAGAATCAGTGACCCCTGCCTTCTGGGGTTCACCTGGCCTCACCTGGCACCTGCCAGTCTTCCTAGAGGCGGAGACCATTGCTGCCAGCCACAGTGTTTGCTTGACCACTAGTGATCCCTCCACAGAGAAGGGATTATTTCCCAGGGTGCTGCACCTAGGCCAGCTGCGGCCATCTCCCTTCTTTGATTCCAAAGCGGAGGAGGCCCAGAGCTTGGCTTTTAGGGGGACACACTTAAATGCAGACCAAAGAAAACCCTGCAGAAGTTTGGGGCTCCAGGTTGATGGAATGGAATAAAACATTCATAGCACTACCCGGGGTCGCTCGCGCATGTGTCCTCACATGTGATTCAGTGACTTGGTTCTGCTCCATTTTCCCCTCCAGAAAAACAAGAATAAGAAAAAAGGCAAAGACGAGAAGTGTGGCTCCGAGGTCACCACCCCAGAGAACAGCTCCTCCCCGGGGATGATGGACATGCACGGTGAGCTCCCCACGGCCGCTGCCTCAGCTGCCAGGTCCCTGGGCCTTGGGAAGCGCTCAGTTGTGTTTTTGTTTCTCTAGCAGGTTTGTTCACATTCCAGGCAAGGGGTAGGAGGATGGGCAGGACCAAGAGGCCTCTGTGCCAAGGAGAAGGCTCTGCAGAGAAGAGGAAGTTCCTATCCCCAGTGCACCAAGCCAGAAAGCAAAATAAACCAGAGACAAAAATAAGACCCTCTCCTCCCGCTGTGACCAGAAACCTCACCGCTGTTTCTATAGCCCAGTATGCCCAGGAGGAGTTGGGGGGAGGAGTATATGTTTCTTTTTCCCTCCTGGGTCTGGCTGATCATATAAATGACTGTATTTTCTTTTTCCCATTTTGTTTTGCTACTAGGAAGCTCCAAAATGGATTTCTTTCTTTTTTTTTGGTACCAGAGATTGAACCCAGGAGCACTTAACCACTGAGCCACATCCCTAGTCCCCTTTTATTTATTTATTTATTTTAAAAATGTTTATTTCTTTTAGTTGGACACAGTACCTTAATTTTCCTTATTGATTTTTAAAAAATATCTTTATTTATTTTTATGTGGTGCTGAGGATCGAACCCAGTGCCTCACACGAGTGAGGCGGGCACTCTATAACTGAACTACAGCCTTAGCCCCTCTTTATTGATTTGTATGCGGTGCTGAGGATCGAACCCAGGGTCTCCCACATGCAGGGTGAGCGCCCTATTGCTGAGCCACAACCCCAACACCCCCTTTTGATTTTTTGATACAGGGTTTTACTAAGTTGCTTAGAGCCTTGATAAGTTGCTGAAGGTGACTTTGAATTTTCAATCCTCCTGCCTCAGCCTCCCAAGTTGCTGGGATCACAGGGGTGTGCCACCGCATTCAGTTTCTTGCTATCTAATTTCAAAAGTTGTAACTTGAGCTGGGCATCCAGCAATCACACACCTATAATCCCAGTGACTGGGAGGTTGAAGCAGGAGGATCTCAAGTTTGAGGCTAGTCTTGGCAATTTAGCTAGACCCCGTTTCAGAATAAAAAATTAAAAGGGCTGGGGATGTGGCTCAGTGGTAAAGTGTCCCTGGGTTCAATCCCTAGTACCCAAAAAAAACAAAGTTGTAACCTGTGTCCCATGTATCAAATCCAGGCTGAAATGTGATTTACCCAGGTTCTCGTTTTCACACCTTGTTGGTGTTTGTTTCTCTTTTTACCGTTGGGTGGGGGGGGGGGGGGGGGATTCAAATCCTAAGCATATAGCTCTGTGAAATGTTCACAAACAGTATACTCCCATGTAAGCAGCCCACGTCAAAACCCCAGATAGTTTCCAACTAGTGCCAGTGGGCTTCCTTGTGTCCCCTCCTGATTGTCCCAACCCCACAAGAAAAATGTTCTCAGAGATTCCAGTGTGAAGTTTTTACAAAACTGAGTTAGCTTCTACGTTAGCCAGCTTCTGTTACTATAACAAAATTCCTGAGTTAATAAACTTAAACAGAGGAAAGGTTTCTCTTAGCTCACAGTTTCAAAGGCTTGAGTGTCCACAGGCATTGTTTCTGAACCTGTGGCAAGATAGCACATCGCAGCAAAAGTCGAACAAAACTGCTCACCTTGTAGCTAAGATGCGTGTGTGTGGAGAGGGGAGTGGAAAAGAAGAAGAGGAAGGGGCTGAGGTCCCACGGTCACCTTCAAGGGCACGTCCGCCTTCCACCAGGCCCCACATTAAAGTTTCTACCGCCTCCCAATCATGCCGTGATAGGGACTTAGCTTTTCATATGTAGGCCCTTGGGGACATTTGAGATCCAAACTAGAGCAGCCTTTAATATTTATAAGTCAGGAAATCTGCTCTATTACCATCCTTTGTGGAGTCAGATCTAGAACCCTGGGAGTGGCCAGCTGAGCAGGAGCAGTTGTTCTGTAGGGAGGATGGGACTCTGGCCCACCAGGTTCGCCTCATTCTTGTCACCTGGCTGGCCCGCGGGGTCATAGTGCCTGCCACCCCTACTGCCATCCACCTCTCGATTTTGATTTCAATGTCTGTACTTTTGTCCATCCCAAACCTTTTGTATAGCAAGTAGCATCAGAGAAATAACTAAGTAAGTAAATGGAAGAGGAGTTCACTGGAGTTTCTAAGGCCTTAGACCCCCACACCTGTCTTGTTCTGGGGAAAGAAGTCTGGAAGACCCAATCCCTGGCTCCAGGTCCCAGGAAGGCTTGCTTTTTTGGAAAACCTGGCTTCAGAAAGGCACATGGGGTTTCACTGCCCATTAACATGTCAAGAAAGCCCCACAAGTATCCACGTCATCATGGTCAAGATTCATTTCCTTTTCAAAAATGGACCTTTGAGCTGGGACGTGACTTCGTTCCCAGGCATCGCCCAGCAGCCCCTCTCTCAGGAACCCAAGAAGCCAGCCTTACCCAAGATTCAGGCTGGACTGTGGCATTCCTCTGGCCTTGGGGTTTGTCTCATTTTAATCTGTAGAAAGTGGATGGTGGTGCCTGCTTCATAAACTCATTGTGAGGATTTAAATGATAGTCTCTCTCAAGCCTTGGCACGTTAACAGCTACCACTTACCAAATCATCAAGGCGTGCCAAGCATCATGCCAGCCCTGTTTTCGAGCATTACCTCATTTGAATTTAATAAAAAGTCCCATTTTACAGATGAATAAACTAAGGCTCAGAGAGATGAAGTGACTTGCCTAACTTGAAGTTGGAAAATTTGTAACATCTCATCCCAGTGCTGGCATTTGAGGTCCTTCACGGGCAGAATCCAGGCTCATAGCCTGAACTAATGCAGAAATCCAGAATGCTGAGTGGAGGAGCTCCCAGGATGTGAGCACCACGTCCACCTTCTTGCATCCTTTCCATTCTAGGGCACGTACAACAAGACAAGTGTGAAGGCCAAGGGAGAGACATGGGAGACATGGGCCCTACAGGTGTTCCACAATGCTTTGGGGGGGTCATCAGCGCTGAGCTCTTTGGTCCCCAGGATTCCACTAAAGTGGGTCCAGGTATCAGAGTCCTGCTATTACCAAGTTCCAGGCCAGTTTCTGCAGCTAGCTCGTTAAGCATTAGTGTATATTGTCATTGTTAATGCCGTAAATGCACATGTATCTTTGCATAAGAAAGAACTTTAGATTTTCTTGCAGGGTAAATCAGGAGAACACACTTTTTTTTTTTTTTGTCTAGAATTCATAAGAGGATGCTTTTGTGTAAGAAGGGCCCCAAAGTATACTTAAAGAAAGATCCTGGGCTAGGATTGTGGCTCAGTGGTAGAGCACTCGCCTAGCATGTGCGAGGCCCTGGGTTCGATCCTTAGCATCACATAAAAATAAATAAACAAAATAAAGGTAAAGAAAAGAAAAAGAAAGATCCAGTTTAACCCAGCTGGGCTGTGTGATTGCCTGGCACCTCTGCAGCATGTTGAGTAGACAAGAGAAACAGAACTAGGAATTGGGTAGAACAGCCTAAACCAGTGTGTCTGCCGCTCTGAGCCTCAGTTTCCCCCTCCATACAGTAAACATGGCAACATTGACTACCTGGTAGGTTGTTGAGAGGATTAATCCCCATGGCTATGTCCATTGGCGCACAACTGTAATCCCTGCTGCTTGGGAGGCTGAGGCAGGAGGATCACTTGAGCCCAGGAGTTTGAGGCCAGCCTGGGCCTCATAGCAAGACCCTATCTCAAAAACAGGCAACTAAGTGCTCTTGCCCAGTGCCTGTCTCATTGTAGGTGCCCAGGACTATCAGAGTGCTTTGCTGCCCCCCACACTCACTTTCACAAAATTGGCCTTGGCCTGGAGTGTAGCATGGTCCAGAAAGGCAGTGTCAGATTATGGTGTTATTTTTGAAATCGCTGCAGGACAAGGGGAGATGTGCCCTGGCATTCCCCCAGCTCTGCCACCACCTGACCACTAATGTAACTGCCCAGTTACCTCCCATTGCTTTTTCCTTTTTATTATGAAAAGTTTCATTGTAGAGCATAGAAGAGAAAGTAACGTGATGGCCCCCGTGAGCCCCCTCCTTGGTTTTTATGAGCACCAGCCCATATTTGCCGCATCAATTTTTTTAATGTGTTAAGTTTCTTAATTGACATATCATTTACATATTTTTTTAAAAAACAGCTCTTGTGTGTGAAGTTCTGGGAGCCGTGATGGTTGTCTGCAGCCTGTGCTAACGCATTTTCAAGTCAATTTCCGTGCATCACGATGTTGGAGTCTGTACCTACACATTTCAGAACACATTGCCAAGGAGTGACATTCTCTCTGCCTGCTGTGCCATTATCACTGCTAACAAAATTAACAATAATACCTTAATAGCTTTTAAAATCCAGGCCATATTCAAATTCCCCAATTGTCCCAAAATGGGTTACAGCTGGCACATTCCAAACCGAATCCAAATAATTTCCATATATCATATTTAGTCTTAAAGTCTCTTAGGTTTCTTTAATCTGTAAATCTGTAATAATATCCCCTGCTTCTCCTTGGTATGTGTGTGTGTATGTGAAAGAGAGAAAGAAAGAAAGAAAGAAAGAAAGAGAGGGAGAGATGTGCTGGGGATGGATGCCAGGTTGCTACTAGGCAAGAACTTCACCCCTATACCATGTCATACCTAAAGTGTTTAACTACTGAGCCACATCCCCAGCCTGTTTTATTTTCAATTTGGAGACAGTTATCTGTTAGGGCCTTGCTAAATTGTTGAGGCTGATCTCCAACTTGGCCATCCTCCTGCCTCAGCTTCCTGAGCACCTGGGATTACAGGCATGTACCACCATCATGCCCGGCTCAGTCCTTTTTCTTTTCTTTCTTTCTTTTTTTTTTTTTAATGACAGTGACTTGATGAGATTGGGCACTTGTCCTAGGTAGCCTGCTCTTGCTACCTGGTCCCTGTCTCCCTTTGATTCTGGGTCACCTGGAAGTCAGTGCAGAGGTTTGATGCACTTTGGAGGAGGCCCTGGCAGGCTGCTTCACCAGTCATGCTGTGTGCTTCACAGTGCTGTATGGCTTTCCCCGCCCAGAATTAGGTCTCAGGTGTCCCCCAAAGACGTTCGATGTATCAGGCCCCTCTCTCCATACACAGTAAAGGCCACCCAGGTTGGGCCAGCTTCCATAATCCTTTGCTTCACAGGGCATGTGGGGTGGCCCTGGGTGGTCAGCTCCAGAGGAACTGCCCAGACCTTTCCCTGGAGAGCAGCCTGGGGGGCCTGAGGCATCAAGGGATGCTGACACTGTCCCCAATCTGCTGTTCCTCGGCCCGGCAGGATCTCACCCTGTGCCTGTTTCTCCCCCTGTGCAGACGATAACAGCAACCAGAGCTCCCTAGCAGACGCCTCCCCCATCAAACAGGAGAACAGCAGCAACTCCAGCCCCGCACCAGAGCCCAACTCCGCCATGCCCAGCGACGGCACGGAAGCCAAAGTAGATGAGGCGCAGGCTGACGGGAAGGAGCACCCTGGGGCTGAAGGTACGTGCCTGCCGTGGCTAGGGTGCAGAAGGGCCTCCCTGTAGCCAGCCTGCATTCAGTCAGGGCACAGGTATTCAAGGAGGCCCTGCCATCAGCCAGCCCCAGAAGGTGACAGAAGAAGGAAGGTAAAACACCTGAAGCTGCCAGGTGCAGTCGTGCACACCTATAATCCCAGCAGCTCAGGAGGCTGAGGCAGGAGGATTGTGAGTTCAAAGCCAGTCTCAGGGATTTAGTGAGATCCTAAGCAACTCAGTGAGACCCTGCCTCTCATAAAATACAAAATAGGGCTGTGAGGGCTGGAGATGTAGCTCAGTTGGTAGAGTCCTTGCCTTGTAAGCACAAGGCCCTGGGTTCAATCCCCAGCACCACCAAAAAAAAAAAAAAAACAGGGCTGGGGATGTGGCACCGTGGTAGAGGGCCCCGAGTTCAATCCCCAGTACCCCCCACCACCACCCTCAATAAAAAAGAAAAAAAAAAGGAGAAATTCCTGGAGCAGGTATTCTTTTGCAGCAATTAAAAAAATCAGATAATCCAGTATTTGAAGATGTGTGGGGATAATTATAAAATAGAAAAAGGGAACAGATTGTCTTACTGAGTTATGGCAGGAGGAATGATGATTTTAAATAGGGTGGTCAGGAAGCACCTCACTGAGGTGACACCGAGGAGATGAGGGTCAAATTGAGCGAGTGGCAAGTTGTGGGAGAACCTTGCTGGCAGAGGAACAGGCAGTGTGAAGGCCCTTGGGCAGGAGGGGGCTCTGCATGGCTGGGGAAGAGTCAGCGGGGCAGGAACAGTAGGATGAGGTCAGGAGTGGTGGGCTCGTAAAGCCACTGTGCCCACCTGGATTTTTACAGCAGGTGAGACAGGAGTCACAGGAGATTTGGATGGCAGGACCTGAAGAATTAAGAACAGGTGATGGGGATGCCAGGGTGGAGGAGGGGATGCCAGTGAGGAGGCTGCAGAAGTTGTCCCAGTGGGAGAGGGTGGTGACCAGGGCAGAGCAAGAGCAGAGGGAGCAGTAAGAGGTGGTTTCATTGTGAAGGGAAGATTGGGTATACACCTGCATTTCGTAGGGGTGTGTGTGTGTTTATTTTGCAATCCCTGCCAAAAAATGGAAATAGCATCATACATGCCTGTGTATCTGCCAGCTAAATTTGGCAGTTATTATTTGAGGGTTTCTTTTCCTTTCTGCTTTATCTGTAGTTTTTTTCCTAGGACCATGTGAAAGGAATCTGTAGACATAGGGCAGTTGGTCCCTAAGCGTGCCTCTTAAGAACATCCTCTCACAGAATCACCACTGTGAACCCCAAGAAACTGAACAGTTGTTCTGATGGTCTGTCGGGGGGTGTGTTTGAGTGTTAGGAGAGAGTATGTGTTGATGGGTGCACCTGGGCATGAGAAATGGGCTGAGGGCAGCTCCGGGTACCTGCAGGGAGGGACAGCAGAGGCTGGCCTAGGCAGGCAGGTCTGGAGCTCCCTGGGCAGGTGCCTGCGTCCCAGGGTGTGCCTTGCGAGCAGCTGGTAAGGTTCTGGAGGAGGGCCACCCCTACTGGAGAGTTCGTCCTCATCCCAGAGAGGCTCTGTGCTGGCTCCTAGGTCTTAGTCACAGCTACATCCTGCTTCCTGTCCCACAAGAGCAGAGGTCCTAGACTAGATCCAGCCTGTGGGGTGTGGAGGTGGCCATGAAGCCCAGGACTATTGTTTGTTTTAAATTCAAACGTGATGTCAGAATTTAAAAACTGGACAATTTCACTTAAGATTGATTTCTACCTTCTCTCCCAAAATCAGAATATTTGGCAATACTGGGCCTGCTTTTCCAGGGGCACCAACAAGCAGGAGTGGGGAAGTAGCTGCTCCTGGAAGAAGGGCAGTAGGGCTGTCTGCTCCAATTACCACACTCCCCACCTCTCCCTGCTGCCTTTCCCACACCAAGGCCAAAGCAACATGTATTACCTACAATCACTGTTTTTCTCATTGAAGATTTAGAAGACAATTAAGATATTTCTTGAATTCATTTATCTCTCCAAAGTAAAAAAGTAAAAGTCTGAGAAGGCTGTTTTGTTTTTTGCAGTACTGGGGATTGAACCTGGGAACATTGTACCATGGAGCTACGTCCCCAGCCATTTGTTTTTGTTTTGAGACAGAGTCTCGCTACATTGCTGAGGCTGACCTTGCACCCAGCTCTCTTTTTTTTCTTTTTTAACATGTGGTCCCTGCAGGGAGTCTCATACACGTATCTCTTTGCACCTTTGCCCAGGTACAAGTAGATCTGTAGGACCTGTACCTGGCAGTGGGACTGTGTAGTCAGAGGGCACATGCAGTGAGAACATGGCTAGTTGGGCATGGAGGCGCACATCTGTGATCCCAGCAGCTCAGGAGGCTGAGGTAGAAAGATTGCAAGTTCAAAGCCAGCCTCAGCATCTTAGTGAGGCCCTAAGCAGCTTAGCGAGACCCTGTCTCAATTTAAAAAAAAAACAGGCTGTGGATGTGGCTCTATATGGTTAAGCCCCACTGGGTTCAATTTTTGGTGCAAAAGAAAAAAAAAATACAGGTAGAGCTGGGGATGTGACTTAGTGGTGGGGTGCTTGCCTAGCATGCTGGGTTTGATCCCCAACACAACAAAAAAGTTCAGTGGCACACGCCTGTGATCCTGGCTACTTGGAAGGCTGAGGGAGGAGGATCACAAGTTTGAGGCAGATTTTCAAATAAGTCAAAAGGGCTAGGCATGTGGCCTAGTGGTAGAACGCTTGCCTAGCAAGCACAAGACCCTGGGTTCAACCCCCAATCCCACCAAAAGAGTGGGGGAAATGTGTGGAACTGAAATGTGGAGATCCAGCTGGGATCTGTTCCAGGGAGGCCGTAGGTAGGGTGACTCCCCTAGAGCAGGGGCTCGTGGCCCTAGCACCATCGAGTAGTTCCTGGCCGTGGGGGCCTCCTGTGCGTGATAAGGCGCTGGGCAGCATCCCTGCTCTCTGCCCATTCGATGCTCCCTCACCCCCAGCTGTGACACCAAAAATGTTTCCAGATATTGCCCAGTGTCCCCAAGGAGAGGATTCCCCTAGCCGAGTGTCCTGTAGCTCTTCCACATACACTATGTAGGCCCCCTCTCTGGTTCCCGCTCGGCAGCCCCCACAGTTAGGGCACACCTGCCAGGCGTCCAGCACCTTCCTGGTCAGGTTGCTTGGCAGGTGGAAGGCAGAGGGGCTGGGACAGGTGGTGTGGTCACATGGAGGCTGACATTTACTGGCTGCCTGGCCTTGGACAGGGAGCATCACCTCCCATACCACTTCCTGTTTCCTTGTTTGTAAAATGGGATGATAAAAGTTGCCTCCCTTGTCAGGTCCCTGCAAGGAGTCATGGAGGCGGGAGGGGCTCTAGTGGGCAGGAAGGGCCTGGGCAGCTGTGGAGACCACTGTGTTCACCCTTTGTGGGAAGAATACTTCTGGGGGTGCTGGGACACATGTGACCACATCTACAGCCGTGTCCTGGCTTCTTTGCCTTCCTGGTTTCTTTCTGGCTGTGGCCTTGTTTCCCCATATTCGGGGTCTGCGTCTCCTCTGTCCTAAGGGCCACTGAGTTGCGGGAGTTATATTTTGGGCTAAAGCTTTCATAACTCCCACGTTTGGTCCCTGCACCCTACCAGGGTCCTCTTCCAGCCACCCCAGGCCACTGGGCCTGTACCACCTCTACCGGCACAGGACAGGCCCATGTGGCCTTCCCAGGTGGGTACACTGGGACCAGACGGGCTGGCCACCAGATATTGACCTTGCTTTGAACTTGTTTACTACTGAGTGAGTTCAGGGAATGACATAATGTCCAAGCTCCCTGGACTAAATTTAGGCCCCAGGAAAAAAATTTCCCCTGGGTAAGTTCCAGCACCAGCGCACTCAGAGAACAGGACTGCTGCCCTCAGCCCCGAACATGCCACGGCCAGCTCTGCCTGGCTTTCAGGAGAGGCCTCTGGCTGGGGCATATGTCTGCCCAGCATAGGGGCAGCATGAATCTGCCGGGTGAAAGGCCACCCTCATGATCTCTAAGCCATCCTCCTGCCCCTCCATATTTTACTAAGATGAAAGTCACAAAATTTACTATTTCATGGCTGGGGGTGAAGCTCAGTGGTAGATCTCCTGCTTAGCATGCATGAGGTCCTGTGTCCAGTGCTCAGCATCAAGAAATAAATGTAAAAATTAATCATTTGTGGGGTTGGGTTTCTAGTTCAGTGGAAGAGCACTTGTCTAGCATGTGTGATGCCCTGGGTTTGATCCTCAGCACCACATATAAATAAATCAAGTAAAGGTCCATCAGTGACTAAAGAATATTAAAAAATAATAATAATAATAACCATTTATAAGTGAACAAGAATTCACTGGTACCAGGCACAGTGGCACACACCTGTAATCCCAGCTACTCAGGAGGCTGAGGCAGGAAGATGGCAAGTTCAGGGTCAGCCTCAGCAACTGAATGAGGCCCTGTCTCAAAAAATGGGCTGGGGCTGGGGCTTAGTGGTAGAACACTCGCCTAGCACATGTGAGGTGCTGGGTTCGATCCTCAGAACCACATAAAAGTAATAAATAAAGGTATTGTGTCCAACTACAACTTAAAAAAAAGTGCTCAGTAGTAGAGCACCCTTGAGTTCTATTTCCAGTTCCACCCCAAAAAAAGAAAGTTCAGCGGCATTGATTACATTATTACACTTACATTGTTATGCAGCCATCCCCTCTATCTATCCCCTCTATCTAGTTCCAGAACATTTTCCTCACCCCCAAAAGAAACTGTACCCGTGAGTCCATCACTGCCATTCCTCCCTCTCCCCATTCCCTGGTAAACAGCAGTCTGCTGTTGGTCTCAATGGCTTCGCCTGTTCTGGATGCTCCATATAAATGTCATCACACAGCACGTGGTCCTTTGAGTCTGGCTTCTCTCATTTAGCATCGTATCTTCAAGGTTCGTCCAAGTCATAGCGCATTTTTGGTGCTTTATTCTTTTTCTTTTTGCCTTTTTGTGTGTGTGCACACTAGGGATTGGACTCGGGGCCTCGCATATACCAGCAGGAGCTCTACCTTTCAGCTCCATCCCCAACTTTTTTTTTTTTCCAGTTTGATTTTGAGATGGGGCCTCAATAAATTGCTGAGACTGACCTCTAACTTAAATCCTCCTGCCTCAACCTCCCAAGGAGCTGGGATGGCAGGCATCCACCACTACACCCAACTGTTTCATTCCTTTTTATGACTGCATAACATTCTGTTGTATGGAGAGACCACATTTTGTTTGGATATTCATCTGTCCATTTACATTTGTGCTCTTTCTACTCGGGGGCTGTTATGAATAATGCTTCTGTGAACATTCATGTACAAGAGTCAAGAGTCCCTCTTTTAGATTTTCTCGGTTTATACCTAGGAGTGAAATTGCTGGGTGCTTTGCTAATTTTTTGCTGACTTTTTGAGGAACCTCCATTAACATGGATTTTAAAGGTAAAACTAAAAACATCAAAGAAATTTCAGGTGTTTATAGCGTTTGGCTCTGTACCCTAAATAATTCCTTCAGTTACTCCCATCTGTTAGTTGACAGTTTGGGACCTAATCATGTCATTCCATTTAATCCACAGCCACTTGACAGGGTGACACTGTCAGCCTTGTTTTTACAGAGGGGGCAACTGGGACTGAGAGCCCCTGGTCCCACAGGCAGCCAGTGGCAGAGGCAGAATGGGCAGTATTTGAACCCCAATCTGTCGTCCAAATCCTGTGTCCCTCCACACACCGGGTTGTAGGTAGAGCCCAGCCCTGATGATGGTGGATCCTGACTCTTCCTTGGAGCAACAAGAGAGCCCAGCTCTAGGCTGGGCATGGTGGCACCTGACAGCAGCTCAGGAGGCTGAGACAGAAGGATTGTGAGTTCAAGGCCAGCCTTAGCAACTTAGCAAGGCCCTAAATGACTCAGCCAGACCCTGTCTCTATATAAAATATTTTAAAAATGGGCTGGGGATGTTGCTCAGTGGTAAAGCACTCCTGGGTTCAATCCTTGGTACAAAAAAAAAAAATACCGCCCAGCTCAGAACCACACACATGAACCTGGGCTAGTGCTGGCCTCCTGACATGGCTACAAGAGATCAGGGCTACCGGAGTGGGGAGGAACAGGGCAATGGCAGCTCTTCATCCCCTGTCGGCCTCCCAGGTTGGAGGATCTTGCGATTCCTAGCAGCCCTGCTTTCTAGCCCTCTGCACCCCAGCCAGTCGGGGCCCTGAATAGCCACTGGTTCTTTCTGTGTTCCCATGTTGCTTTCTTGGCTTTTTTTTTTTTTTCAAACCACATGGTCTGTTGTCTGCACCTTGCATGAAGCATCTCAGGCAGGAACTTGCTGTTCCCTCCCTGGGTCCCAGAATTCCAGGTAACTCACAGCTCCTGCCGCCCCCCAAGGCTCTATTCCTTCTTCCAGTCCACACCTTCCTACTGCCAAAGAAATTTGGGATGGGGAAGCAGGGAGACTGAATCATGAGAAATAACCCAAATCGCCAGAATCTCAGATAAGGGCTTGCTAACTGGAATGCTGGGCAGCCATCTTGTAAGCGCTTGTGATTAGGGAATTTGTAAAGATATGAAAACTTCTCTGTGATTGCCATCCAGGGAAGTAGGAAAATGAGAGACACGTAGAGGAACAGTCTAGAAAAAATGGGAACAAATCCTCTAAAAATGTTGTTTTGTGCTATCTGTGGGTGGTTTGAGTGAGATGACAGGTTGATTTTAACTGTTTTTTTTTTCCTGTATTCTGTCTCTTGAACGAAGTCATTACTCTGATATCAGAGGAACACCCATATTATTAAGAGAAATGTTTATAAAGGGTCCGTTCTCTCGAGACTGCTGGTTCCATACAGAAACGGGGCAAAGCCTCCCTGCCAGCCACCTCCCCAAGGGGAAAGGAGTGGACAGCCATGATTGATGATTGTTGGGCACGTCAGGCCCACCAGAGGGCGCCAGGCACCAGAAGCATCCTGAGGTTGTCCTGCTGCAGGGCAGCTAATAGATGTTCCCGGAGCAGCCTGTGACCCCCCTGCTTAGAACAGCCTCACTAACAAGTAAACAGGAGGCTTCCCAAGCCCCACAGCTCATCCAGCCCTGAAAGATGCTGGCCACAAGAGTACCCAGTTCCTGGTATTTTTAGTACTTGGCCCATCTGGCGACGCATCTCACGTATCTGAAAACAGCTTCTGTCGTCTTGCTTTTCTCCCAGACGCTTCTGATGAGCAGAACTCACAGTCTTCGATGGAAAACTCGATGAACAGTTCAGAGAAAGTAGAACGGCAGCCGTCTGCAGAGTCGGGGCTGGCAGCAGAGATGTCCACAATCTCTCAGGTACCTGGAGTGAGGCCTCAGAGCGGCCAGGAGCCTGGTGGGCTGTTGGGGATGCTTTAAAAGGTGTTTTCTCATTGTTTTGTCAGTTGGAACTGCCATTTATCCATCAAGCAGTGTCCATGACCGTCACCCTGGGTGCCTTTGCCAAGCAATAGAGGAGGAGGACATGGGTCCTGCTCCTGGGAGCCTCTGGGGGGTGGGGGGTCCTTCCTCCCACCTCAGCTTCAGATCCACAAAAGCACCACCTTGTCTCAGAGACCTAAAGGCTGGGGGGTCCTTTGCAACTGAGCCCAGGCCGTTGCTTGGGCCCCTTGCTGGGTCATAACCAAGTGTCAGCATCTGCTTGAATCATGCTGCCTCCCATCCCCACCTCCCCACCTTGCATTGGGAAGACCCCTCTGCCTCCCTGATATTTGATCTGGCCCGAGTCCCACTCCTCTGTCTCCTCTGTCTCTCTCCCAATGTGGAGCAGGTCAACTCTGTAGGTCCAGATCCGAGCTCCCTCACCGTCACCCTCGCTCAGTGCTTTGCCAAACAGAAGGCCCTTCACCTGAGCAGGGCCACCTTCCCTGGGAGCCCTACAGCCCACTTTCTCCGGTTAACACCCCTGTGGAGTTTGTATGCTCTTCAGTTAAGGGAAACATAGTTCAGGGAGGAAGAGAGTAGGCCTTCCAGAGTCCCCGGCGCCTGCTGCAGGGTCCCCGGTGCCTGCTGCAGGGTCCCCAGAATAAGCTCACACAGCCTCCTCCAACCCTGAAGCCCAGCCCATATCCAGGCCCAGTGCCTGTATTTCATATTTAACACCAAGCAACTGCTGTGTGCTGGGTACCAGGGACACGGGACAGCTCTCATGGGCTGAAGACCAGGCTCAGCGGGACACAGACTAGACACAAAGTCTGACCGAGTGCTGCATGGGGAGAGGCACAGGGTGATGTGACGAAGAGTGACGAGTCGGGAGGTCTTGGGGTCCACATGAGCCGAGAGGAATTGTGTTTGAAGGGTGCAAATGCCAGCGATGGCAGGCTTCCAGGCAGCTGCAGCCAAGGGCGCTCCGGCCTCAGGACAGAAGCCAGGCTGGGGGGTGAAAGGGAGGCCAGGGCAGGGTGCGAGGGCCAGGGGAGAGGAAGAGTCCACTGGAGCTGGTCCCCTGGCCTCTTCAGCCCTGGAAAGGAGTCTCATTTTGTTCTGAAGTCAGAGGGAAAGTGTTGGGAGGTTTCATGCCCGTTGTGTGGCCGATGGCTTAGGAAGGTGCTTGGGCTGGGTTGGGGGACATGCGGGAGGCTGCAGCGGAGGCTACTGCATCATCCAGGCAGGTGGTGGCTCAGGAATGGCTGGGGCAGTGGTGAGCAAGAGAGGCAGGCAGGCCATGAATGAGACTTGCTAAAAGGTGGTGGTGATGGAAAGAATGGGGGCTGCAAGGTGCTGAAGGACCACGGGGTGTCTCCCAGGCCAGTGGCCTAACTGGTGAGTTAGGAGGAGCGTGACCCAGAGCTTGGTCTCAGGTGTTCTCAGGTGGCCAAGGTAACTGGGTGGTGAGTGAGTAGATATTTGATCTTTTTTTTTGGGGGGGGGGTGTCATGGGACGTCTTGGGAATTTGTTGACAATTACAGACTGTTCCCCAGAATAATGTGTGTGTGTGTACATTTAACAAAGGTTAAGGGTCTGCCCTGGGCCAGGAACTTGTGTCCTGGAGGAGCAATAGTCCAGGTGACACAGTGGTTCTAGGCCTTGGGAGACTGCCTAGGGCCTAGGCAGGTGCACCTGAACCTGGTGTACCAAATAATTACCGTCACACTTCACTGCAGATGAGACAGTGCCTCACAAGTAAGCCTGGCCCTTCTGGGTGGGGTGAAGGGGTGAGAAGCTCGTCAGGGCCAGGCAGGGTCTTTGCATAGCTCTGAAAGCACCAGGGTGCGACGTTCCCCTGCAAGCCTGGCTGGGGCTGGGACCGCCAGCTCCTCCTTCCCTCGCTTTCTTCCTGGGCCTGAATCCCTCCCCTGCTTATTAACCCACGTCTCTCTGTTGTTCTTCCTTCTTCCCCCAAGGATTTGGAAGGAGTGCCACCCTCTAAAAAGATGAAGCTGGAGGCCTCTCAACAGAACTCCGAAGAGATGTAGACGCTGAGCTCGATCCTCCGGTCCGCGTTCCGTGGCAGGCGCGTCAGCAGGCTCACCCTAGAAAGCGCTGTGAGCTCCATTCCTCTTGGGCGCGAACAGGACTACTAACGTTTCAAGTTTACCAAGTGCAAATCCAAGAAAACCCAGAACGGCAAAACTTCTCAGACACTGAAGAACTCTGCTGTGAAGCGAAACACCCGAACCCCGAAGCGGCTGTCCTGGGAGGCGGGCTGACCGCTCAGGAACGTCCACACTGTCTCGGAAGCCAAGATCACATTTGTGTTGCTGCTGTTTCCCTCCCCCACTTCTCTATTTATCGATATAAGCTATTGGAGGGTGGTACCCATCAGGAATTCGCTTTTCTATCGGGGGCTTTTCACTGTTCTACCAATTCCTTCCACTTTCTTTTTTTGTGCCTTGTGCCCTTGAGGTGACCTCTGGCATGTTTCCTGGTTATTTTGCATCTCCCTTTACAAAGTGCCCTCTCAGTCCGGATGAGGCAGCGGCCACCACCTTCCTCGCCCTGCTCCTTCCTGCCCAGGACTGCTGTGGAGTGGGCAGGCTGGAGCTGCAGGACAGTAGACACTCCTCAGCTGGCCCAGTTTTGGAAGGGGGGACTTGGGCACCCTCTGAGCCCTGGGTGGGGTTGGCACCAGCCTCCAGGACTCCAGGAATTATAGGTGCCAGGGCCCAGTCCTTAAGGGCTGGCCTCCTCGGGTCCAGGCCATGCCCTTACCTCCTCGGGGCCTTGGGGGCTGGGTATTTCCAAGTTCCCAGCAGCCCAGATGGACATGCAAAGCCCTTAGATTTTTCTGGCACTTCCACCCTCTTGCCCCTACTGTCACCACCACCTCCATCACTGCTTCCTCCTGGACCTCCGAAGACCAAGTGGCTTCTCTGGCGGACTGCGTGTTTGTCTCCTTAAGATGATAGCAGGGCCAGGAGGTGGGAGCGGGCAGCGGGAGCAGCTGGTGCTGAACTTTCTCACGGGACGTTGCTTGGATTTCAAATCCATAGAAACCTGCTGCCCTCTGACCAGCCCCCCACCGGCATCCTTGGCCTCCCCCAGCCCCCAGAGGCAAGATTGCAATCGGAGGAAACCCACTCGCTTCTGCAAAATGTTCTGACTCTCAGAGACGACAGTTGGATGGAATCTCATTCCCAGGACATTTATGCCGTCGGGTCCCCACCAGGGATCAGGCCTTGATGGTTGGGCCTTAAAGGCCAGAAACAAGGCACCAAGGAATTGGAAAGATTTGCACACCCTCTAGAAAGGAGCGACTGAATTCCCCTCCCTGTGCCCGGCCTGCGCTGGGACGGTCCTCTCAAAACGGAGATGCCCCCTTGGATGAACTGCCTAGCTATTGAGTTTTGAGGCCTGGTTTGCTCTTAATTAACATACGGACTCCTCAGACCGTAAACCTTTTCCTCAGCTTTCTTTACTGCACTGGAGTTCTGACTCCCTTTGAGTTGTGTGTTACTGGGGGGGTGGGAGGGGGACTTCGGGTTTTGTTGGGGGTTTTTGTTTTAATTTGTGTTTGGGCTAATTGGTGCATATTCAGGTACCACTTTGACATGTGGATCTTTCTCCCGACCACCATGGGAAGTGTCTGCCAGGTTCCATTTTCTAAGAGTTTCTGAGGGTGAAGCTCCTATTGTTTTTTTTGTTTTTTTTTTAAGGGAGCGTATATATTTCCTGCACTTCAAGAAGAATCAAAATGTTCCTGAATTTCAAATACCTCATGCAAAATGTCTCCTGAAATAAGGGAAGGAAAAAAAAAAACTTTGAAAAATCTTAATGTTGAAGTGAGCAATGCCGAAAGGTTCTGTCTTAAAAAAAAAAAAAAATCCTTGTACTTATCACTTTTGCCCCTCAGGCGGTCAGTTCTGCTGAGAACTGTGTTCTGCGCCTCGGCGTGGAAGTGACCCCAGGCGCCACCTCTCAACGTATCTCAAGGCGGCTTTACCTCCAGATCCTGTAGAGTTAGGGTAACGTTTTTTCTTTGCAGCAAAGCTCCATTTTGATGAAAGATGAATCTGGATATTTATTTCTGTTTTGGAAAATGAGAGGTTACAACCCAGACAGCTGAAGGAGACTCCAACAGCATCCATGGAGACAGGAAGGCAGCCAGGCCTCCTCTGCTCACGCGGCCTCTCTGGACAGACGAGGGGACCCGGCCTAGTGGAGGATGAAGATATCCACGGTACCAAGGCTGTCATTAGTTTTTCTCTGAAGTGCCTGAAGGTAGGAATAGGCCAGCGGTTGGGACCAGCTGGGCCCCGCCAAGGCCACGCCAGGCAGAGCGCCAGCAGCCCTGCACTCCACGCTGGCCGGAAAGGCCTTCCCTGTGGCATGGTTAGACTGCAGAAATCCAATGTGCTTCCTTCCCCGAGGCAGTCTGCTCCTCGGAGCTGCTGCTCCCCACCCACCCTGCACCCCTTGCCCTCGTCCCCACCACGGAATCTAAGACCTTTTAGCCGGCGGAGCCAGGGGTGGGGGATCCTAAGCGATTGCCTTCCATGGACATCAGGCCCCGTGGCCTAAAGGGCTCCCAGGGCAAACTTAACTCCCCCACAAAACTTGAAGGTGGGGGAGCTGCGGCTACACATTCCACAAAGTGCTGGCACTTACACCCATAACCCGGAAGGCTGATGACGGATTCATATGGGGTGGTGACCTCCCATCATCAAAAGGTGTCATGGTTTGGAATGTTCATTATGGCCGAGGACCTGGTTAGAGGTATAAAGACCTTTTTTTCACCGTTACCTAATTTTTCCCCCCTCTTAAATGATTTTCTTTTTTTGGTGTGTTGTACAGCAGTATAATTTTTCACTTATTTATTCCATCAGTAGATATGGTTTGTACAATGTACAATGGTTCCATTTCAGAAAATAAAAAAAAAAATTTCAAATCATGAGCACATATGGTTTTGTTGCATTATAATAAAGAGTAAATAAATAAAAACAGCTCAAAAGCAGAGTACTTGCCTAGCCATGTGCAAGGGCCCAGGTTCAATCCTCAGCCCCACACAGACTATCAGGTGGTTGGCAAGAATGCCCTCAAGGCTGTGTCTGCATGGGTGCATGTCCCTGGTTGTACTGATTCAGGGGAGCTCATCGCATGCAGGGACTCTTGTGTCCACAGTCAGGAGAGCTGTTAGCACTAAGCATCAGCGGGGGGTCAGGTGAACCACTAGACGCTCTTTCTGTGGGCAGGTATTATCAACCACCTCGTGCAGGTCCAGCTCATATGGCCAGGCAGAGCCCCAGTCTAAAAGCCACACCTGGGGCTGGGGCTGGGTCTGTAACTCAGCGGTAGACCTCTTACCTAGCATGTGCAAGACAAGCATGTGTCTCCCTATATTTATTCCCCGCATCATAAAAAATAATAAAAGAGCCTTACCTGACACATACCTCAGGCCTGGGCTCCAGCAGGGACATCAGTTTGCTGCTTCCCTGACTTTGGGAGCCTTTGTCCTGCAGGAGGAACTCGGGGAGGTGGACATGCTGATGGACTGCAGCCTTGTCTTTGACTTAGAACTGGGCATCCAGTCGCTTGTGGTGTAGCCAGAACCAGAACCTTCCCTGGGCTCTTTCCTCCTAGCTGAGACTCCCCTCCCCCTTTGACTTTTTCTTCCCCTTGTCCGGTTTCACTTCCTCTTCCAGCTGAAAACTGGCCCTGGCCCTGGGTGAGCTTCCTGGATACAGTGGGGAGGGAATATTGTTCTAGAAGGTCTGAGCCAAGTCTCCCTACAGAGCTGACCCGGAGGCAAACACTCCTTTTTGTTCCGTCTGCCTCTCTGACCCACCCTGATCTTTTTCAACGTTTTTTGTTTTGTTTTGTTTTGTTTTTACCAGAATTGGTCGCTCAGCTAAATTAACTCCTGATATGGAAAGTTCAGACAGACAAAACACAAATCACAGGGGCCTTGTTTGCTTAACGGAAAAAAATAAAAAGCTTTAGCTGGCTGGCATATCACAGTTTCTGTCCTCCCTGCTATCTGTCCCCGTCCAGACTCATCTCTCTGTGGATCTCTGCCACCCATGTCTGCAGTCCCTAATCTCTGCTCTCCCAGTCATTCTGTTTCACTTTCAATGTCACTTGGCATCTCTGTCTCTCTGGAGCTGAGTGACTTCTGCCATCTGCATCAAGGAGCAGTCATGCATGAGAGTGGAAAAGGAAGGCTTTATAGGCATTTACTGAGCACTGTCTGTGTGCTGGACCCTGAGCAGCAATGACTCAAAGGTGACCCTTCTCTCCTGGGCAGAAAGGTGCCCTGGCGCACTGAGAACAGTGCCTAGCACAGTTTGGGAAAAGGAAGACCTGCGTTTTGATGGCAGGGGTCAGGGGAGCTCCTAGGATGGTGGATGAACTTCAGGCTAAGGAATCCAGTTTTCCTGTTGACGTGAAAGAGTGACTGATGGTTTCTGAGCCAGGGCTCTGCTGGGCTAGGGATAGTGTTGCCAGCCAATAGCATGGAATTGAAAAAGGCCACCCTGGAGGTAGGGACAGGGCAGCTTAGAAACTGGAACAATAGGACAAGCAGGAGGCCAGCTTTGGCAAGAGGGCCCTTGTGCCCCTGAGTGACATGTTGAAAGCAATCAGTATTGCAGCCAGGTGGGTGGAGAGGGGACTGGTGGGCTGGGGGAGGCAGGCTGAGAAAGCTCAGCCCCAAGTCTAGAGCAAGCCAGTGGTGTCATGGAGGTCTATGGTGAGGCTGACGATAGACTGCAAATCCTAAAGGCCAAATCTAACCTCCCTTCCAAGCTCTTTTGGGTGAGGAACACACGTTTTACTCCAAAGACTCGGTGGACAACCCTTGGCTTTGTCCAGTTGCATTTCCCTCTTCTTCCACTAGGGGTCGCCCTCATTCAGGCTCTTTTAAGTGAAGCCGGCGATTCTGGGTTAACCAGACGTGTCCAATCAGTACGGTTCCACCCCCAGGCTTCTGCCATTGGTTCAGAAGTGGGCACATGACCCACAGTGGTCCAATGACAGTCAGCCCTGGGATTTCTGTGGAACTGGTGGGGAAAAGTCCAGTTGGAGCATGGTGGGGAGGGGGCTCACCGAGGTGTGAGCTGCTGGGGCTGTCTTTACCCATATCCAGGGAAGACTGATGATGAGGCCAACACAGGAAAGAGTTGAGTGAGTGTGAGCTTCCCGACAGTAACTCTTGGGCACTGTGCTCCAGCCGACCCTGAAGCCAGCCCTCCCCCTGAACTTTTCAGTTTTGTGAGATAATAAATACCCTTGAATGGTTAAGTCAGTTTACACTGGGTCTTTTCCCCAGGTGAGCTCCCACCCTCCATCCCAGGGCTCAAAGGGTGTCCTTGACAAATCCAGGAGCCCTTTCTATGGGAAATGTAGCTCAGACTCCTGACTGAATGCCATTCTCTCTGAGGAAGTTTCTGTCCCTTTCCTAAGTCACTCCCTTTTTAGTGCTCCCATGTGTCAAGGACTTGGAGATTTCCCAGCTGATGACAAAGAAATAAGCAGAGGGTAACATGGGCCTATTTTGGACCTTCTAAAACCTTCAGCTTCCAAAGCTCCACCTTTCCAGAGCTGTGTGACCTCAGGCAAGTATCTTAATCTCCGCAGGCCCCAGTTTCCTCATCTGTAAAATGGGGAGTATAACAGTGCCTATACTAGCATTGTTGTGAAGCTTAAGTGTATTAATATACGTAAAGTTCTCTGAACAGGTCCTGGCACACAGTAAGTCTCAAATAGTAGTTGTTATTTTTATTGCTATTATAGTTATTATCACCAAACACATGTGGAAGTCCAGCTCTGAGGTCATGAGGCCAGGGAAGGAGAAGAACTGCCCATCTCTAGCTGCCTTGAACTTGCCTCTCAGAGTCACATTTTGCTCCCGGAAGACCCACCTTTTCTCCAAATGATCGACACTGGAGTTGTCCACATAGCACATCTCAGATGAGTCAGTCCTTGTGGGATGAGTGGAAGCCCACCAGAAAACAGGCAGAGGGAAGCCGTTCCTGGCTGGGGAAGGGCCTGAGCAACACATCCCTGACCCAGGCGCTGGCCGCTCAGGGAAGCCACCCACAGAGTGCTTCAGGGCCCTGGTCTCCGTGGAATGGCCCATTGGAGACTCATTTTTCCAGCTCTTCACCAATGTTCTCTCCAAGGGCTCTGGGGAGAGGCCTCAGGGAGGCAAGGACAAAGATATGGTGCCAAGTCTGTAGATCCTGTTTCCCTCTGGGATACCCCCTGAGCCACTGGAGCTTGGAGGATGCACTGGCAGGCTTGGGGTCCACAGTTTTCTCTTTCCAGACCTTGGCAGAAATAGCAAGCTGCTTTGCAACAAAGAACCTCAAGAGGCTCTTAATCCTGCTCCTTTCTCCCTCGGGCTCCCAGGGCGATGAGCTCATTTGACCTGCTTGCAACCCGGAATGGTAGCTTAGAGCAGAATATCAGTCTCTCCATTATACAGAAAAGAAAAACCAAGGTCGGGGAATGACCATAGGGACAGTAAGGAGGGTCTAGAAACTAGCCTGTCTTCCTCTAGATCAGAAATTTTATTGAAATGCAGCCATACTCACTCATTTACATATTGTCCCCGTCTGCTTTCACCATACAACTGTAGAGTAATTGCAACAGAAACTCGATGGCTCCTGAAGTGAAAAATATTTACCATCTGGCCCTTCACAGAAGAGGTTTGCCAACGCTTGCCCTAGACTACACTTTCCTGTTGAAAGAATAATAACAATTACCTCTTATGTGCTAGGCACCATGCAAGACTTTACTGAAATTTTTATTGACATGTAAGGATATAGCCCAATGAATTTTTTTTTTTCTTTTGTAGTGCTGGGGATCAAACCCAGGGCCGCAAACATGCAAGGCAAGCACTCTGCCACTGAGCTACACCACCAGCCTCAATGAATCTTCATATATACCCTAACACAACTGCTTTACATTATCACCACCCAAATCAAAAAAACAGAGTATCACCCCCCCAAAGTCCCTATCCTATCCTCCTCCAGTCACTTCCCCTCCAAGGGTAGCTGCTACCCTGACTTTTCTCCTTGCACATATTTATTTTGCCTGGTTTTGAGTTTTATATTCATGGAATCACAAAGCACAAGCTCATTTGTGTTGGGTTTTGCAGTATCCGGGACAGAACTCAGGTCTCTCACATGCTAGGAGAGCTTCCCTCCACTGAGCCACATCCACAGCCCTCATCACATGAGATTCACCAACATTGCTTCATGTCATTAGAGTCCATTCATCCTCATTGTTGGAGAACATTCTAGGGGGCCAGTATACTCCAGTGTACTTACCCACTTTTCAGGTGGAAAGGACCGTTAATAATCCATGCAAAATCCTGGACCTCCATGATCTCATTGCACCCTGACTTCTATCCTGAGAGAGGGACAGATTCAGAGCTTCATTTTATAGATGTGAAAACTGAGGCTTGAAGATAATGACCAGCAAGTGGAGAGCTGTCATTAAAGGTGTGTTTACTGTCCTGTTAGATTCTGGCTTGAAATCCCACCGTGGGTATACACAGTCAGCCCCGTGCACCTGAGGATGTGAAACTTGAAGACTCAGAGGACCACAGGGATTTAAGCATCCTCGGATTTGGCATATACAGAGGTTCTAGAACCAATCCCATCTATATGGAGGAATGAATGACCTGTACTGTATGGTTCCATTTATATGAAATTTCTATAAAAAGCAAAACAGTGGAAACAGAAAGGAAACCCTAGTTTTCCTGAGGCTGGGAACAGGGTTTAACTGTGAAGTGCCATGAGGGAATGTTTTTGGGTGACGAAACTCCAAAACTGGATTGTGAGGATGATTGTGCAACCACGGAAATTTATTAAACCTCAATGAATTGAACATTTTAAATGGGTGAATTTAAAGGGATGTAAAATATACCCCCTTAGCCAGGCACAGTGG